TGGCAGCTCTAAGTTAACTGGCTTATTAGCTTCGTACAGAAACAGGAACTCTTCGTCGGTCAGTAGATTTTCTTCGTAGGCAATAACAATCATTTCGCGAGTCTTTTTAAAATATGCCATGATTGACGAACAGAGCTAGAAACTTCACGTCGGTTTCGGCCCAGTCCTCCGCGCCTAATATTATCGTCCTCGAGGTCAGCCGTCCAGGTATCTTAAAGTCCCTATTCTCTTGCCTGACTGCGACATCGATCGTTGGGAATGCTCCCTTCTCAAGCCTTCGAACGCTCGGCTGATCTCTAATGCTGATCTTTCGACAAGAGCTGTCTGGCGCGAAATGCACAGAACACAACACTGAGGTCTTCGATGCGCCTTAAAACCTGGCCGATGTTTATGGATGAATTTTGTCCATTTCCGTCTTAAAATTTCATTAGAAGGAAAAAGATGCATTGATATGCCCGGGGTTTTACTTGAATTCGTGCAGCTGACTAACCCAGGGCCACCAGCTACACAAGATTTCCTGGAGACTCTTTGAGTTCACTTATCCGCCATGTTCCTGGGCGCAATCTACACAACTGATGAAGTCAAAGCGGAATTTTGGCCGCGCGGGGAAAAATGATCAACTTTGAGCCGGCGGGAAAACTACTAAAGCGCCTCCATGAAGGTTCTAATACCAGAATTCGATCAAATAATACCTAAATTTTAATAATAATAAATAAAAATTAGGGGGGGAGGAAATTTCGAGTCACGTGCACTTTAAGGAAATCTGTAATTTCTACAAGCTCCCATTTAAACTAGAGATTTCAAAGCTGTTCCAATGTCAAAAAATTAAGGAAATGACCCATGAATGCCAGTGCTCAGTGGAAGGATAGTTACACCATCAAGCAGTGATGTAATGGTCCTTGTTGCTGTCTATAAATTAATAGCCACCATTTTGCTAGAAGAAAGTATATGTATATATTTAGCGTGGTACACACATACTGACACATACACACACACAAAAATAGTTTACTTGTAGAAAACCTTTGTGTTTTTTATATCTTTGCATACTTATAAAGAATTGTAGAGGGTAACTGAAATGAAAAAGAAAAGGTGTCCTTCATAGCAGTCTTTCAAATTTCTTTTTAGCCAACAGGGAGTCGTGCAGAGGCATGGGGCGAAAGCAACCAAAGAATTAGGAGCGGGGTGAGGAACTTATTTAACCGGCCTTTTTCATGTCTTTGTTTAAACAAGCGTGGTACACCAAAAAATCAGTTCACTTATAAAACTCTTTGTCGTTGTCTTATGAAAAAAAATTAAATGTATAGTAAATTTGAAAATGAAAAGAATAGGGTTTAGTGATAAAAGGTTAGATCGAATAAAGGTATGAGTTGAAACTAATGTGAATAAAGGCTGATAGTTTCGAAAGAAACTGTATGGGGCTGCGTTGGTGGGAGTAACGAAATAATTTNTGGTCAGCTTTTGTAATCATTACGGTGGCCAATTTACCATTTCAACTTTGTTGATATGTCCAAATTATTTTGAAACTAACATGGTTCACTTGACAATTTCATGTCGAGCTTAGAAGTGGAAAATACTAAAAATTGTACATTGCTAGTTTTATTAACACCATACGTAAATGACATTGGTTACTGTTGCGGAAAATCATATTTTAGAGTCAGCTTTGTATAAAGCAATGATTCTGCAAACATTCTTGGGAACAGAAAAAATGACTTAGAACACACATTCTAAGTACAGCGTTCTTTCCGTGCAAAGGGGCATAAATAAAAGATTCTGGTAAAAAAGACACCTTACTTTATACCACAGAAGACAAGCAAAAAGTAATATGGGTACCTCGGTTAAAAATACATCGATAACTTTATTAATTAATACCAGTTCTAATTTAAAGGAAAAAGTTACGAGAATAAAATAAAATTAGTCTGTACCACGAAGCATGCCTTCACTGTTTAGACTGAGAGTCCTAAAGTTTTTTGAGCATGTCTTCGAATAACTTATGACGATAAGCCCCCACTCACCCCACCCCACGCCGTTCTGTTTTTACTTAGCGGCTGGTCAGCGCGGCGGTCCATTGTAAGGAAAACTTGGCGATCGCTTCCTGAACACCGTTCTTGTCGATCAGAAAATCAAAATACCAGCAAGATATTGCCTCAAAGATAAAGCAGTTGTGTTATTTGATTCGTACTTCACATTCGAGTCGAAGCTTGGGTGGCACAGGTTATTTCTTGAGGTGGACAGACGAGGGGAATTTGAACACTAGTTGTAGTGTTTGAATTGTAAGAAGAAATGGTTGCATGGGGATGTAGGAATGGTAAGTTCAACGGATAATTTCAAATTTTGCTGCTTGAATTGAAGGTAAAGTTCATTTGAGTTGCTTCCGTATGTATTTCTGACAGTTTTAGATCTACCTGCTCGATTTATGTCTGCAACGCCTCATGTTGACAAGTCCTTCAAAATGGCGGCCAAAGCTGCAGATTGCCGAAAATCAGGTAAGTTCGCGGAGTTATAAAGTTTTCGGAAAGGCCGGGCCGCAAAGTTTTTTCAGTGGTTACCTACTCTATGGCATCTACTTCCTAGCTATGTTAGTTGGATAAGTTAAGAACGCCTCACTTTTTCAAAAATTTACCTTGAATTTGATCGGTTTTCATATGTGTGACTTAGCCGAACCGATAAGGTGTCATTCAAGTCTTCTTGTTTGCTTGATTGAAATGTGATGTTCACGAAAGTCGCCTCGATGGATAAGATAGAGTTAACATACATGGCTGTGGTATTTTTTTTTTTTTGCTGAGTTGCGTATTTTTTTTTTAATTGCCCTCTAAAGTTGTCTCAAATTTAAGTCTTGAAAAGTGTCACGACATGCCTTCGCTCGAGTGAAATTTAATTTCCGTAAAACTCTGAAAAATAAAGAGATCCGATCAAACGGATTGTGGTTTTAGTATAGGCAAATGAATGTCTTACAACACACAAGAAATGAGGGAAATCTGTGTCAAGCAAAATCGACCGGACCGTTTTTACGGAGACACTCTCTTAGTTGCCTCCCTGAGATTCTTTAATGCGTCAATCCCAATTTCCTCGGCATCTAAATATTTCGTTAGGAGTTGTATCAAGGTCAGGCGTCCCTTGTCCGTCTCTTTCACTTTGACCTGCAGTCCTGCACATAACTCGCGGAGGCTTGTTTCGCCAAGTTGACAAATAGCAGTTCTCACATCTATCTGTAGCTCTTCGGCCTCGTTTGACATTTCAACGGCCCCTGTCACGTCGGGGTTACCAAATATTGCACACTACTTTAATCACGCGAAATAACTAACACACCAAACAGTAACGTTCTCCTCGACTGTCGTTTTTCACCGCCTTGCTTTCCTCGTGGGATCTTTTTCTTCTTTTAATCCCATAATAATCACCTGGGCTAGTCCAAGTTAGTCTCGTCCTGCTTGCTACAGATCCAACGCGTTCCCAGATTAACTTGTAAAATCGACAGTGGCTCTACCTTGAGCAAAAGCTAAGCAAAGTCACATTCCTCAACTGCTTATGTAACTCCTCTCTTGGGTCTTTCAATCCGAAAGAAAAATGGATAATCTTCTAGTTTTTCTCTGTAGAAATCCATTGTTCATTTCTCAAATTTAACAGTTTGAAAGGAGGGGAAGAAAAATTAACGTTATAACCCAGAGATAAATCTGATTCGAAGTCCGCTTATTTGAAGTATCAAAGGTTCTCAGTGTCTCCCAGGTCAGTAGGTAGAACTGAGGCTTCCTGAGGATTACCTTTTCCCCAGGTTAATGCGGTGTTTTGGCCTTTACCGGGCTGACACAATTTCTCCTTTTGCGTTTGGCACCGATTTGATCGAGAGGTGCTCTGAACATCTTCAGTAACGCTACACAGTTGTGAAAGCTGACGGCTGGAGGCGTGTTTCCTTTGCCTGGAACGCGTGCAGAAAATTCTAACCACTGAGCTTCGAAATTCTGGTATCCTCAAGCCGTAAACTACAGGATTCACGAAGGAGTTTCCATAGTGAAGTACTTTGGAAAAATAAACAAAGTTGAAACTAAAATGCACCGACGTAAACACGAACAGAATGTTGACAATAACAAAGGGAAGCCAAGCTGCAAGCGAAGTGAGCGTCACAATAAACAATGTCAAAGCCAGTTTGTTTTCGTACTCGCTCGACTTTTGCCGAATTATCTTTCTTTTGGATTTGATTCGGCGCCATATTGTCAAGTAGGAGACACTTATTACAGCGCAGAGCACGCTCAGCAGAGACATAGACACATAGGTTGCAATTTTCGTGGAGTTGAGCACAAAATTACTCACAAGGCAAACAATTGTGGTTGTAGAAGCAACAGACCAAATCAATGCGATGGAAAACAAATAATTTCGCGAGTTGAGACCGCGATAACCGACTGGAACCATGGCGGCGTAGACACGTTCAAGAGAAATCACTGTGAGAGTTGTCAGAGATGCAAATCCAAGAAGAACATCCAGCCCAAACAAAGTTATATCCAAAGCCAGTTCCCAGTGAACGTTCCAAAATGACAGTTCGCCTCCTAGATAAGCTAAATATAAAGGCAAAGGAAAAGCGCCGACTAACATGTCTGCTACAGAAAGATTAGTAAGCAACATGAATTTACTCTTTTTCGAGGACTTGCTCGAGACAAATGCCAAAATAGTGATGAGATTACCACATACAATGACAAACGCCTCGACACAGAAAACCACGAACCATGGATGTGCCCTCGTGCTCACAGGAGAATGTATCGTGCTGTTACTACAATTCATTTTTTTCTTGAATTTGTAGGTGATCCCCTGTAAAAAACGAGACAGAAATGGCATTGACGGGAAATTAGCGAGTTCTCTTTGTTACCTGTGAAACACAGCATTGGTCATTTTAAACGAATTAATTATGAAATTTAAGTTGTAGAATATGTAATATACTCTGAGAGAAGAAGAATAAATTGTTTACATCCGAATAGTCTCTTGAGCTGGCCACAAATTAAAATATCAATGTACCAATATTAGAAGTGACCAATGCAGATAATTGTGTGTTTCTCACTTTGAGCGAAGACAATATGTGACTTTAACCGACGGTAACTCTTTTGTAGAAGAAATTTAATCAAATAAAGTAGAGTCTCAAAAGTTCTAAGCCCCCTTTTCACTATGCATCTAACAGCAGCCGCAGCTGTTTGTCACCAGGCCCAAAAGGCCGTGAAAGCAGTCACTACAAAATAAAGTAACGAGTATCGTGGAATTTTTTTTTTTTACGAATATTGAAAAGAAAATTGATAAAAGCTCTGTGTAAGACTGTGTTTTTCAATATATTTTCATTTTAAACTTGATATATTGTGTTTTTCCTCCGACATAATCTTTTAGATTTAAAATCATTGGTTATGACGTGATAAGTTATAATCAAACAAAGTTGTGTTCTTGGCTGGCCGCTTATTAATCATTGAAGCCCAAATTGAACTTGTTCTTCACGACAGTAAGGACTGTCTGAGGAAGGATGAAGAACCTTTTACGGAATTTATTTTCCAAAGTCCAACAGAAAAGTTTCAAAAGAAGTGTAGAAAGCTGCACGCACGACGGACAGACTCGCCAAAAATATATCATAAAAGTCGAAGCTTGTTGAATTTCACTCGTCTTTTGATTTAATTTGCAGCGACCTACTAGTAAGATTGCTTCAAGTTGTGATTGTTTTTCATAAATACACTTCTCCATAGTTCAACTTCCTTTAGTGCTGTGTATTCGACTAAGAGCATCCGTGAATGTAGCGGAGAAGTGGTCTATCCTCAGAGATAAACTTTGTTTCCAGGCGAGTTAAGATATATCCTGCCTCTTAGATTATGTTTGATCATTAGGTTTTATGAGAAGGAAATGTATTATCAGCAAATAATGGAAGATTTCTGAGTTAGCCACACTAACGCAATCAAAATATAATTGAATAGAAGAGGCATGATGAGAATAGAATAATCAAAGGCTTACCGTTTACTAACCAATGATAACGAACCAGATATCGCCCAAGGTTGTTTAGTTGCACGGTGAGGACTATGTCACTTAAATTGAACCTGTGGAAATTCACGGTTTAGTTGAAAGATACCACACAAACCAAGTAACAACTTCAACAAAATTGACTTCATGATTCTTGCATGTGGTGAAGTACTGGAGATTTTAAGGTTAGTTTACTTTGCATGAAATCACTCTAAAGAAGAACTTATTCTGTTAACACCCTTATTCTGAATGGTCTTTGCACCTTACGAAATTAAGTAAATATATATTCAAAACAGACCGTATCTTTTCAACAATTTAAAACGGCCCGACTGCATAATCAACTTTTGTCACCATTATTTACCCTAATGAATACCCCTGGGAAACCTTTCAACAGAGGCATTTTTAATCATGATGGTGGAATTGAGGTTCTTTTTTTCATCAAACGAAAAAAGGTCAATCTAACAGGTCTATAATTAAAAATTTCATAACGAAGATTGTACAAGTTAGGATCAAGAGCTGATTTCATTAAATCTTCATTGAGATCTTGATCTTGTTCTCACTGCAAGTTTGTTTGAATAAGCCCACGATCAGTTTTTTAGTTTGATTCTGAATCTTTTTAATTGATTTATTTCTCTCTGGTTGAATAACGATGGATGGAGCCTGACAAAATAATGAAATGTCCAGAAAGGTTTTATACTTTTTCGTAATCATGAAGACCTGTTACAAATTTCACTAACATGTAGGACCTAATTTCGAAACTGCATTAAAAAAATATTGACTGTGTCGTCATAAAATACAATCAAAGCGAAATATTTTTTCTACTCCCTTCTCCCCGAGGAAGCAAGAATCGAGAAGAAGGTTGACTGTTTATCGAGTCAAACCAACAATGATCAATTGCGCCACTGTCAGCCCCTTTATACCTTTTTCAACATCCAAGATCTTACCATAAACTTTAATACGTCTTCTCGTATTTCAGTATCAGTGATTAGAGTTTGGTGTTATTATTGACAAATTGACCTTATCAACCTCTATGACCTCAATTTGAAGTTTTTGAGTCTTTACCCAAAACATTAAATAACCCCTGATAATTAAAAGCACAACCCGATTACTGACGTAATAAGATACTAAAAAATTATGCGCGTCCGATTGGCTGAAAACGAGTGTATTTTTCATTTAACGTGAGTACAAAGTTGTAACACAAGACATTTCGTCTGTGTTGACTGCGTGATGCTTTGTTCGTGTAAATTGTAAACAAGTAACGACATGATTTCTCCTGCAAACACTTGTAAATTTTTGAAAGACTACAAATTGCAGCCGCCCTCCGGGCTCGTGCAATTGGCCATCTCCGAATTACCCTTGGCCTCTTTTTCAAACGAGGCCTAGGACTGGTGCTCAACCATTCGAGTGAAAATGAATTTAATTTGCATTTGAGAGGAAACTTATAATATGAAAGGATGAGAATCAGGACTCGCTTTGAAAAAAGGGCTATTTTGTTGTCTTTGAAAAATTTACTCGTGCTTATTAACACCAAATTGCACTTGAAATCATGTTATTACCTATACTTGAATTGCAGTATGGCTAAGGAACTCTCCACCTTTTTTGGATAAAGCGCTTTCGAATCACTATATTCCATCCATAACTAGAGCCATTTATAACTAAATCTTTCTCTAGCTCAATGTTTCGTAAGTTCAAAGATCAGCCAATTGGTATCACGTTGATAAAAGTCACCCGCTGTCCACTTTCTATCGCCGATGAAGAAACTTCTGGTGTACTGCTTTTAGACTTTGGTGAGGCGAATTCATCCACCTTTTATTTTATAATCGATAATGGTACTGACAACACAGCCTGGAAACAGACAGACAAAATACAAGCACATCTTTATACACAAACAATATAATTTGATTGTCGATCAATTTAACTTGTTTTTCGGTGAATTTCAAGAAATAGAGTACTGTGAAAGGGACTCGAAATCACAGAATTTAAATCACAGAATCAGTGATGAAAGTGAGATAACATACATGAGCCCCCCTAAAATAGCCTTTTTAATGATTAAAGAACATAATAAAGGGAATTATGAATTATTTCCAACGCGACGTTGATTTTTGTATTTCGTCCAGAAAAAACACGATACCCCTTACGGAAAATTGAACATATCGGGTTTCACGCTATCTTATAGGCACTTTTACCAGATACACTTTTTTCATCTCAAAGTGAGTTGAAATACGATAAGCAAAATTTCTAAACTTGTTGAATTTTTACCATCCTATTCTACAGATGCAGTTGTGTCATGAGTGAAGTTATTTAAAAATCTTCATCACTGCATATGTCTTTTTTAGCACTAAAATTGAAGCCCGCGCAAAGAAAGCCGATGATGTCTAAAAGCAACTGTTATTGTCTATTATTAATTGCGCAGTGAAATTCGTTACTTAATAGCCCTTATGACTGCCTTTATATGATCCTATCAAAGATGCCGAATTAATTGAGTTTTGATATACACAGAAGTGAACCTTTTAATGTGGGATGTTTCGGCTGAGGTTAGCTGAAAGTTTCAAACAAGCCGCTCTTCCTTCTGAATCGGCAATATCGTTCCAGTTGCTCAAATTAGATGAACTACTTCATAATTCATACCTTGAAGACGCGATCAGGTTTTGACGTTTTCCAGTTGATATTTGAGTAGGTTTGAAAAAGTGTGACAGAATGAAGCTTCTACAGGCTCATATCATACACTCCTCCTCTTCTTACGATAAGATCCAGATATTTCAATATTTACCACTTTCTTTGTATCTTTGGTCTCTTCGAAATTAATCATCCTAACACAGGTTTTTCTTAGAAATACCTAGCTCCGTGAGATGCTTTCAAGTTAACAAGCATTTAAAATATTCCTCAGATTTAAATGAGACCCTGTGTATTATGATGGAAATTTAGAGATTTAAAATTGATTTCCTCAGCGAGAAATGGTTGTTGAGAGTTTGAGTGGAGGCCTTTAATTTTGCACCGCCGACTGTGAACAAATTAAAATTTGAACAAATTAAAAAAGAAAAAGCGACAGAAGCAATTATATTCGTTGACATTACTTTCATTCTACAACTTTCAGGTTTTACTGGTATATTTAGGCTGTTTCCAGCAAATGAGGAACAGTTTTGGCAGAGGAACGACTCTAAACGCTGGGAATAATTGCAGTTTTTTAGTTTTTGACATATTTGCGTGTTTCAGGAGCAACATATATATAAATATTCTATCGTACTCTTTAAAATAAACAAAACATTTGGCACCATATTTGGAGTCGATGCTCGCCTGGTAAATTTACGCGAAGAATACCAAATGTTTCTACAAAATTACATGCTGCCACTTAATTCCAATGTGAAGTGTTTCCATATTGTTCCTGATGTTAAAAGTCAACTTATGATGTACTCATAAACATATTATAATGGTTCGCCAGTTGCAGAGGTCCCCCAGACAGGGAGGAAGTGAGGGAGGGGGAAGGAGGCCAGCTATCGTTATCGTAGCATACAATCAGCTTGCTAAACTATTCCGTGATGTGATCTTATCACAAATCGTTTTATCAGGATCACACCGCAAACTGCTACTCTGCAGGACATTTTTTGTTTTGAACAAATGCCTACCAATACATTGTCAACTGAATCGATCACTGGACTTTTTGAAATCTGTGGATAGTTTTCAATTGCTTACAAACTAGGCAAAGAACATTTTGGAATTTGAATAGTGGCTTGTTCTTGGCTTGGTGAAATATGAGCCCCCTCCTCCACTCCTACATATACGTCTAAAGGCGCTCCGCCACCCTGCTCAGCACCGTGTATAAAGCATATTTACCATACATGTTTGACAACTCTTAGCTATTCCATCATAAACCTGATCCTGTGGTTAGTTTGAATGCATTTGCCCGTGAAGGGGAACAATTTGCGGAAAGAGAGAGTCAGGATATCGCTTAACTTAATCTGATTAAAATCGGTTCAATCATAACAAACCGAATAATTTGCCTGAAATGATTCGCTGCATTGAATTTGGCCATGATTTTGGCACAAAATGCTTTTTGCGCTTATTATTGATACAGGTAGGAATTAACAAGATCATAGTTCTATTTTAGAACTCTGATGTCGAATGAACCATACGAACTCCAATAACGCATGGAAAAATTGTGAAGGAAATGCGCGCAATTTACACTTGAGTCTTGTCAGTTAAACCTTTTCAGTGATAACGTGCAATCAGAAGATGAGTTTCATGGCGCAAAAGTTTTCATGGGTAGTGACAGCTGAAGTCGTTTTGATAACTTTATGGTTCAAGCGTTTATCTGTGGCTTCCTAGAACCCCTGATGAGCATAAAAGCCAACACCTAAATTGAATTAAAACTTGAACCAGAGGAAAAATTGCTGCAAAGTCGCAATTAAACCTTGGTAAAAGAAAGATCTGTCGCAATATTTGTTTTGAGTTAACAACGACTAAAATTACCTCAAAGGAAAGTAATTCTTAAGTTAAAACTTTTTTTACGAAAAGAGTCCTTGATTATGCCAAAAAAAACGCAAGAAAATTTTGCTAAGTTTTACAAGATGCCCAAACGTGACACACAGTTTTGAACATTGAAATTAAAGAGTCAATAAATGGAGTTTTTGTTCGCGCCATAGTAGCAGGTGTGGACCGGCAGTAATGAGTTAAATTATAAATATAAAAAGAAAACTGATGGAAAACTTGAAGTCACTTTAATAAAATCACAGTCTTAAATTCTTAACAGCGTCGTAATTTTCTGCTAAACATTCGATCAACTTACACCTTTCACGATTTTCATTTTTTGAACAGTTTTAGAACTCGCGTTGGAGGCCGTTTCGCTGCTCATCATTTCAAGTGAGCATTATTCGGTATCAAATAAATTAAAGAGCTTCAGGGTAACTGTGCACTGACCTTTCTATTCCTTCCGAACCGAGCTGCCAGTAGTTTGAAAAAGATTTCTAATCTAAGCAACTTTTCAATCAGTTGTGGAAGAAATAAGATTTCTCAATTATCGTATTTACATAACACAGTACAGTCACAGTTGACTTAGACAAAACCGTCAATTAAAATGGCTTTACTCTAACGAAGCGATCAAACACCCCACTGTCAAGTAGTAATTAATAGGTGTAATTTAAAGATGAAAAACGGCTTCAGGTTGTGTTATCACAATATGTTACAAACATATGTTACAAACATTGGAACATTGGGGGTATGGAGAGAGATTAAGACAGAGAGGAATATTCGTTTTGATATATCACGAACTTCACAGGAAATAGACCTCCCTTTCCTAAAACCTAAATACCTAAAGCTTAATTTAGATATTCCAGCCTATGCCCCAGTTGTATCTTTCTTTTACCTTGTTTTATCATCCTCTCTATCCTAATGTTTAATAACTGCATTAAACCTTATTTAGTACGAGTATACCGGGCTCGAAATCCACGTGAAATGTTGAGAAAAGTTCGGTATGAGATATGATAAAGTGGGTACGAACGTGGGTGGTTTAAAAGATTTCTTTTCTTTTACAAACTCTAGGTAAAAAAAATAGCTACTTAGGATTGACCTTTTCCTGCTGTTGTCCAGACCGGACCAAATTCCCAGGACAATGTGCTCCCTTTGCTATATGACATCTGCAAATTGTCAAAAATTCTATTTCTGATCTTCTGCATCTTCCTTGTACTAATTATCAGGGAACGTTAAAGAATCCACACACTTCCCACAAAGAGTGGGGAACGTTGTTCCTGGTGTCATAAGGTCTGGTTTTGACTCCAAAAATTCCCAAATTGGGGGCACCTGCACAAACGCTTCAAAGCAGTCGGTAGAAGTGAAGTCTTATATGAACTAGAATAATGGAAATATAAACTATCATAACTTAAGATTTTATATTCAGATTTCACTTTGACACTAAGATGGTCGTTTCTACTTAACAATTATTCGCCGAAGGCGAGGTAAATATCGTCGAATAATCCCCGAGACGATGTCGAGGGGATTATTCGACAATGTTCACCGAACCTGAGGCGAATAATTGTTTTAGTATAACTTCAGAGCTGAACAACAGAGAAATTTCTAAAATCATAGCATTTAGTAACATTTATTAACATTTTATTTTAACATTTTGTATAAACCGCGTGGAGCGGTTTATCTAGCGTCATATAAGGAACCGCTCGACCAATCAGATTGCTGAAAACTCTTTGCTCAGCTCTGAAATGATACTAAATAGGGTTAACTTATTTAGCGATAGAAGGTTTGCTTCAAATGAACTTTCTCCATGAGAACTTCTCTGTGAGGGTCGTGGTGGCTGCCATTTTAAAAACCGACAAGCCAGTGGGGAATTCGGTTTCAGTGATGTTTTTCATTTATAAATTCGATTAAAAATAGCGAAAATGATAATAAAAATAATAATCGTAACCATAATACTTATGATAATAATAATGATAAAGAGTACCAAGAACAATTGGCTGTCTTCATTTCAAGCCTTTGGCTTACTAAATAAAATTTTGTTCATTCCTCAAGGTAAGTCAAAGGACATAAATTATGTGCCAATAACTTAAGTAATACTGGTCTTCTAGGAGAATTTTGTATCCGATATTATTTATTTCATCAATTTCCCAAACTTAATGAGGGATTTAAAACCATTTGACTAGCAAACATATTTTTTTTTAGCCAACTCTGATTAATCAGTGGCCAAGTACAAAAACCTAGTACAGGTGAGTACAGCACATCAGTTAGGTTTTCTCATATTTGAAACACTCTTGCTTAGAACGAAAAAGCGAGGGAGTTCTATTTCGAGCTGATCTGTGGAGTTAGAAGGTTGTATTTTGATAGGGAAAGCTTTTCCGTGGTCAAAAATGGGTGTGGCTGATCCCAAACTTACTTTCAATGAAACATATCCTAAGGCATTACAATGAGACTGCCCTTTATATTTTTTGCCTTGGATCTCAATAAATTGGATTTCAAAATTCCCATTTCAAGAGCTGTGGTATCTTTTGATAAACGTGCCACTTGAGTGTGAAGCAGTACGGCTTTCTCGCTGATGGCAGACTGATCGCAACACAACATCTTCGCAAAAGCCCTCCTAAACTCGGCGATCCTCAACGAATACACGAAAACATTGGCGCACGAGTTCCCATAATGCAAAAGTTTTGTGAGATAAATTAGCGTCATGCTCACCGACACCGATTGAAGTTGATTTACAATGTTTAAAATCGTAAATGGAAGCCAAGCACATAGAGATATAAGCGTGACAATGAGTAAAGTGATAGTCAGTCTTCGCTCTTGTAACGTTGCGTTACGGAAGTGAGATGATATCTTCCGGTTTCCAACCTGAATCCAGATCACTAAGTTTGTTACAAACACTATCACGCAGCAAATGGAGAGGATGACAACAGAACTGTAAAAGATAAATCTTATAGGGATGTGGCGAGTGAGCAATTCAATGGCTATGATTGCAAAAGCTACAAACCACACGAACATAATTCCCACCACGTATACTCGTGTTCGCATCACTCTGTGACGTAACGGCCATAAAGTTGCCCATAGCCTTTCCAAAGATATCAGCGTAAGAGACAAAATCGAAGCAAGGCCTGAAATGACATCAACCGCTTTGTAAGCGATCAGAGGAGTTTCTAAGCTTACTGGCCACAATTGCGCCTGTCCCCCAATGAGGTATACGAACATCGGAATAGCGCATGCTCCAACAAGGGTGTCCGCTGCTGCTAGGTTTATCAACAAATATGAACTGCGTCTGTGCAGTTTACCAGTTCCAGTAAATTTGACTATTGAGAACACATTACCAGCGACGATCGTCAGGGCCTCTGTCATGAAGACAACTGACCAAGCAATTGCATCACTTCTGGACAACATTGTCTGATAAATAATAGGGCTACGATAGCCTTTCTCCTGCAAAAAGAAAAACAATGAAAATAGGACAAAGGAAACACATACACACTGTTCCATTCAGACTCCTAAGAAAATTATCATTACAATAAAACTACAAAATCAATCAAATGAAGCCTAAACTGAGAACATAAGTCAGCGTTAAAACGTAATTAAAATTTCTTGAATATACTGTATATCAGAAAAACAAATACAACAAATTCATCTCCTCTCACTTTCTATAAACACAGCGTACATGAGTACGCTGGTCTACTTTTGGTCTTGGTATGGGATACTTAATGTAAAGTTGTCTCGTTTACTTTTAATCGAGTCTTTTATGCGGGCTTTTGGGAGAAAATTTGATGCCGTGTTGAAAAGTCACTAGTAGATCCACAAAACTGGCAGAGAAGTTCTTTGTTTCTTCCCTTCCTACCAACTTAATTCCTTACACGGGTGTACATGAATATTTTGCCCATGCAAGCTGAGCAGTTATTTAGCCCAAGCCAAATTTATCTTTTTAAAACAGAGTTTGAAATGACATGAAGTTTTTGTCAAGACTTTACGAAAGAAGCTGGGATAGAAGTTTAGTCAACGAAGGTCAGTATTTTCAACTTGACATTCTAGGCAAGGTTTTTTAAGCTACCGTACAAGGTCCCCAGCTGAGCGTTAGAACCAACGTCTTGGAGCCTCGAGCAATATTATGATGCCATCAAAACAGACTTACTTGAATTCGAACTGCAGGAGGCTGTTGCTTTTTAGAGACAATAGATCGAAAATTTTTAAAGGGCAAAGTGTAAGTTTTTTTTAATTTAAAAACTCCGGGATATTTTCATGACAGAAATAAATGCCCCTTTTCCGGCAACGAAAGCCAACTTACATTCATGATAACCACTCCAGCCTTAAAGAAAGCCAAGCCTGATGGGAAGGATGGCTGTTCACCCGGAACCAGAAAATGTATTCTACGTAAATCACGAAATATACGGATTTACTACATGCCTTATAGTTCCATTCACTATAGGTCACCCAGTTTAAAATCTTATAAACGATAACTGTTAGGAAAAAACTTACGGGACATTTTAAAAGAATCAGCTTTCAAAGGGACATCTATCATTTGCTTTCACAAAGTACATATTTGATACAATTTCATCTATAAAGTTGAAAATTTCGTTTAAATCGCTCTTTAGAATAAATCTTAGTAACAGGTGCTAGTAAAAAGAGTAGTAAAAGTTTTAGTTAATCTGAACAATTCGCATTATGACGAGCAAAACATTCCCAATTATTTTTAGACACTTTTTGAGACCTGACGTAGTTTGGAGTATCGCCTCTTGCTTACCAAAAGCTTTTTCTTTCTCCATTCACTGGATGGTACAAGCCAACTGCAAGTTTTACTGCACACCGTAATGTACAAACATATGTGCGTGGTTTTTAAAATGTGCAAATTATTCCTGAAACAAAAAAAGGATAACCACATGGGGCCTAATATAATTTAACAAGGTCGAAGCCGTACAAAGAAAATAACAATTGAAAATTGAAGGTGTTGCAATCATCACGTCAAAGTTAGATCTCTGAAAACCAATGGCGCCAGGGTTATTGAACAATTTGTTTTAATGACGTTAATACTTGAGAAAATAGGTTGGCATGGCACGGAAGACTTGCTTTGTTATCATGCGCATTGGAAATTCAACATTTTCGGGAAATAAACCATACAGTCACAAAACAAATTAAGACTCTAAATGCGCAGGGAAATGCTATTTCCTTGTCAACTTAAGTTAGTTAGATCCATCTACATCAGAGTCATTGTCCATTTTCCACCCAAATTGTCTTTTGAAAAATGCTTCACAGAGAAAGATTACGCAACACAATATTTCAGATTCTCGCTATTTGGAATTATAACAGACGGGTTTTCAATGGGAATAGAAACATTTCAAACTAGGGGAATTAGAGAAAATGTTTAATATCTCCGATACAGGAGACAACATAAAAACTAATTTCCTATATTTCCATAATTTCGCAATGTTCACCAAAATTGTTCATTGGGTCATTATTTATACAATTTCAGAGTATCATTGGTTTAAATCAATTTCGTCATCGAGTTTTTTTCACCTCGAGCCGAGCGTAAAAGACTAATAATTTTTCTGGAAGGAAAATTTACAGATTTTCATCAGGATTATTAAAAGACTGAAAACAGGTATTCGTTGAAAAAAGTCAACATGCAAACGTGTTCCTGTAACTTCCCCTGAGGGGCAGAGAATTGAAAACGTGGGCAAGGGAGATTAGCACGAAATTTTGCATTTACATCTGATGGATTACCTGTCACTTTTGCAAAGCAATGAGTGAAATAATAAAACCATATCGACTGAAAAACATTACGAGCTTTGCTTTACACAGTGATATCACAGGCGCTATTAACGCAAAAGCTATTAAAACTGACAAATCAAACGAAAAATTATGTAGATATTTGAAAATTGTATTACATTTACGATATTTCAAACGGTGATGGAAATTGCATCATTGTACTATCGAAGACAAAATTTCAATTTCTTTAAAAGAACTGTTCTGGAAAATTTGCCAGGTAGAGATATCTCACGCCATTGAAAAAATAACACGAAAAAACCCGTGAAACAGTCTAATAATACTCATTAACTGGTCATGCTGCGTTGAACACTTAATTGCTTCCTCAAAGCACCATTCGTTCCTTGTACAAAATACGTGTACAACATATCAATCCGCACTTCCTTTCTTTTTCAAGCACATCTAACTTTTCACTGCCGAAAGATTCCTTTATTTTGGCCGACACATGTTAAACTTTCCTAAGACACCTACTTCAACTCACCTGAAATTCTCTTCAGACCTCTAATATTTCAGAATTTGTTTCATGAACGTTTACATTCCAAGTTAAACATTGATATTAGCATGTGATGTGCTATTACTCGCTGGCTCTGTTAGAAATGTAAATTTAAAACTAAGCTGCCACCCAAAATTACGTTGCTTTTGTACTTGACATTCAGCATATTGTGATGAAAATTTTGGCGCTGAGACAAAAACTGAAGTTGTCTACGACTGCTGCTTGACCGCTCTCTTTACACATAACAATACAACAGCAATAGTTGTATTATGAGAGAGCGATTCGTCATTTGAAGAGGAATCTTAAGTTGCTTCAAACCTGGTGTCAGAATTTTGAGTTGAGGGGGCGGGGTCTAAATGCATATTTCAGCTATTTTTTTCAATATGCATAATTTTTGGACGCTAGCAGTTCTCCTAGGCATCTTTTTTTATTTTCTTTCTTCGTCTCCCTCCTTTCGGAGTTAACAGCTGGTCGATCAGCAAGCGCAGAACATTATATTTCAACGTCCTATATTAGCCCTTTGCTCTGACCGCGATGAAAGGCTAACGCTCGAAAAGTCAGGTTTAGAAACTGTTTAAACGGTGGCTAATTTATCTTATTAACTCAACTGATAAAGTCAAATTATCTTGTCACCCACCTGACGAAGCACCGCAGTTTCTTGAGAACATTTCCCCCTTTTTTCTCTTACAGATTAATGAATTATTTTTGGTTGATGCTTATAATTTCTTCGCAGGATACTTAAGGGTCACTCTACCTAACCACCGCGTGAGGGGCGGCACAAGGTCGGAAAAATGGACCCCTTGATATTTCGTACAGAGATAACCTATAGCATGCTAAGAATCGTGATATAAGTTTTGGGTTCTAGAGTTTAAACATTTTTGAGAAAATTACGAAAAACCGTCGACCACCCGTGAAGCCGAAAAATCACGGAAATGAGGTCAAATTTCATGATAAGATAATNTACTATTACTATTACTATTACTATTACTATTACTATTACTATTACTATTACTATTACTATTACTATTACTATTACTATTACTATTACTATTACTATTACTATTACTATTACTATTACTATCGACCTTGTCCACTGCTCTATCACTGGGGGAAAAATCAACGTTCGGTGAACACCCACTCGTGATTCGCTTCTTAAAAGGAATTTTCGAGCTGCAACCATCGTTACCACGTCACACAACCATCCGGGACGTCAGAGCAGTTTTAGACCACTTCCGCACTATGCCCCCGTTGGCGGAAATCACATTGAAACAATTAACTCTCAAGCTTGTCACGCTACTCGCCTTGATAATTACTCAAAGACGTCAGACTTTGGCATGCCTCGACTTCCTATTCGTGCAAGATATGTCCACTAAGCTGCGCTTCTCAGTACAAGAAAAACTAAAAAACATCTAGACCTGGCAATCATTTGGAGCCTATCGAGATCAAGGCCTACCGGTCTGAACTACAACTCTGTCCGGTTACGCATATACGACATTACCTAACGCAAACCAGACCCCTTCGCCAGGACTCGAAGCTATTTATTAGCCTATTGAAACCGTAGAAACCAGTCACACCAGCCATGATTGGACGTTGGATAAAATCCATGCTCACGGAAGCCGGCATTAATACCGAGCAATACTCAGCCCACAGTTGCGGGACTGCCTCTTGGTCATACGCCTTATCGACGTCAGGACTCGCCATACAAGACATTCTAAAAGCGGGAGGATAGTCGCGAGTAGAAACATTTGCCAGACATTACTATAAACCCATTAATCCTAACTTAGGTAGCCATATCCTAGACCAAGCTCGATCTACAACTCAGCACACTGCCAATAATTTGTAATATCGATGATTCACTTATTTTCTCGTTCTTGTTATTGTTAGAATATTCCCATGTCCGCGAATTCACAGAATAAATGGATCGCGTATGAGCCGTTTGACCATTTTATCATGCTTATAACAACGGTAATCTTTGGCGACTTGGACCACGTGTCATGTGTAAGACTCGGCCCACATTTTGCACTCTTTGCTCATGTGACTCCGTAGTGACGTATGATTGATGACAGGATGGAATTCTTAAATTAAACGAGACTTACCTGTGAGTTGAAGTTTGATTGGGATTCAATCTTGTCATCAGTCGGGAACGAAGGAGTCACGACCCTCGTGGGGGGGGGGGAGGGTCTCCAGTCTTTTCCCACCCTACTCCTTCGTTCCTGTGTATCTGTGAGTCGGCTAGTGGTTTTAAAAAATGGCTAGATAATTTAAGAAATCTACTTTGAAGTCCGAATTGGAAAGTAGGTCATCTGTATCATAGACAAGTAAAATTGGAGAAGAAATATTTTTAACTGGAGTAATAAATGAGAATTTAGAAACAGGGTCATTTTCATTTAAAGTGTCAGTAGGAATTGCATAACGCCAAATATGACCCTCTTCTATTATCTTGTTATTATCTTGCTGTTGTCAAGCAGAAGTACCTTTGAAACATTTCTCTTGTATGAGTATAGTATGAAGAAAGCAGTTTTTGGTTCGGCGAGATGGCCATAGCGGCTTTGATCAGATCAGTTTGAAGGTATGCCAATAACAACCTCACCCTTGATCCATAGTGTATGGAGTGAATACCAGTACTTTGTGGCAAGACTTTGGGATGGCGGCTGAACCAGATAGCTACCTCTTCGAAGTATTCCATATCCATCAGTGAACTGAGTACTCTTTGGTAGGTCATCGTATCCCAGGAAGGCCAGTGCGAGGGCAGCAAATCCACGAGAAGCGAGCAGCGATGCTTTGAATTCCGCGAGCCTGTCAATCTATAACTCCTACGGAAAAAAAAAATAATTAAGGTATCCAGTCGTTTCGTGTCGAGTCGTTTTGCAACCAATTTCAACTGATTTGTACCCAGTTTGAATCGGTTCCTACTCAAAAAGCTGGTTGATCTGTACCCGTATTCGAAAAACCCGGCTGACGCTCGAGCGCGTAGAATATGTCGATTTCTGCGCACGACAAGTAAGAAGAATCAATATTCATTTCCTCACCCCCTCCCCTCTTCTTCGTTTTGACCGTCACTCACCCCATGGGAACAGCTTTACGCAGCTGTAAAATTCTAATTTTCACCAAGATATTGCTGAGGACTCCCCGCCAAAATTACACTAGCTCCACTCTATTGATTCTGCAGGCTGATCATCTCCCTGATGTACTGCGCATGGCGTGATAGGTGTTCGTTTGATTAATCTCCTGTCAATTCCTCTTTGGTTACTTTAAAGGAACGCGAGCAAATGCCTAAAGATAAAGTTTGAGTTGAGCAGTAGAATTGAGATTAAAAAGAAGTTGTTACACCAATTCGCCAAGCATTAAAAAAATTGAAGAAGCAACCTTGAGTAATTTTGCCCTCAGAAATTTTTTTGCAAAATATAATTAGAGCAGATATCGAGCACGAAAAAGTCAACGATTTCATAGAAAACTTCAGTTTATTCCGTGAATTTTTACACATAACCTGTCTTTTGACGTTTCGCAGGCCTATCGTGATCCTTATCTTATATTACGACAGATAAACGGCTAAAATGACGCCCAAGAAGGGCCATCTTGGTTTGTTTACTTTTCAGAATATCCTTAAATTTCGCCCATATTTGTGGATGTAAAATAGAGCTGTTAATTAACGTTTAGATAAAAAAAATCAAAATTTTAAGCCAGTGATTTTTTGGTATTTTGGAGAGCAACTTTCCAACATTTTACGAGCACAATAGGATCAATAAGGACAGGCCCACCAGTCTCTGTCAATACTACTTAACGGTCCTTAACAAGGCTTCCGCTCTCCCCTCTACTCTTGTTAAATGCAGAAAAGCAGATCTGTTATCATTCATCCACAGCGAGTGAAAAGTCCTATATAGAGAAGACCATACTCCAAAAGCCCTTCGCAAATGACGAGTTGATATATTTCCGAGAAGCTCAAGGAGTAAAGGTGCTCCCCGAACAATTTCAAAAAGCCTCAGATAAGCTGACAACAACCCTAATAAACCTGAGAAGTTTCCATCTCGCAATGGGAAGGATCGGCAATCGAGCAGGAGAAAAGAGAAACAAAGAAAGGTTAAACAATTAAAGAAAAAGAGTTTACAGCAAAGGGCATACTTACTTCTCAAAAAAATCACATGAAGATGCTATAAAAAATAACAATGATTTTACAGGCATCGCGACGATTCTGAGTCAACCGGGAGTTTGGTCAGGCGTCTTCATCTCTACCATCTGCTATGGCTACTGGCGTTTATAACACAATTATTGTCCATAACCGATCTACTATAAATACCGTCTACGCCTATCAACTCTCAAGATCTCATTACCAATTCTCCATTCTTTCCGCCATACATTTTGTAGCAAGGTAGTTGGGAGAATTTGCCGATTTTTAATACCTGCTGTTTGAAAATGTTCTTGAAATTCGACAGGAGGTGAAATTTACGAGTTAAAATGTGTTCTATGTCCATGTTGTCAAGCTAATAATCCCAAAATGACCTGCGATGGGCACAAAATAGGTCATTGTTTGGGGAATCCAACACAAGAAAGATTAATGTATGCATACTTTTAATACAAGTTCAGTATACGGCTTCGTTACACTTCGTCGCTTGCTCAGCGAGACGTGAATAGTGAATCAGTATTGGTGTGAAAATCTGCAAGTTAAATTTTCAAGTGAGCAAAAGATACTTGTATTCTTAGTTTATTTCGTAAGGAAACTAGCATTTTGTTGAATCTGGTTCTTCTTTGACTCCAGAACCTTCGACAAAAGGAAGAGTATTTAAAGTGTGGCCAAGGTAAAGTGTTTCGATGTTAACAGGCTCTATCCGTTATAATTAACAAGTTCAACAGTTATGGCTTTCGGCGTTGCTTTTTTGTGTCAATTACTTCTAAAATGTTTGTCATCACGTAAACCTTCTTGTCTTAAATTTCAGCAAACAGAAGTTCAACACCAGTTGCAAATTGAGAGCATTCCTTCCAAAGAGTGAAAACTAGCCAGAGCCTGTAAGTTTGCATTCTTCAGTGCTGAAAACAGTGTACACAATTGAAAATATGTTGAAATATGCTGAAAATGTGTATCTTAGTGTTCCTGTCAAAAAGCGATTTGAAGACGAAAACTTTTTTGCTACAGTCGAGTACTTTTGTTGATAGCTAGGAGTGCAGATTGTTGCGGAGTTAACTTTGGAGTAATTCGCCACCAAATTAACGTGATCATGAAACATTTTGTTTATCTCATCAAATCGTTAATGGAAGACGAGTTACAGAGAGTTACGGCTGCCAAATTACTTCAAGGATGAACATAGAACCCTTATACCTAAGCCTTTCCAAGCAGTTTTTTGACTCACACTTTACCACCAAATCAAACTGATCTAGTATTCCGGGCAGCAATCGTTACATGAAGTCGAATTTCCAAGCGCCAACGACAGAATCAGTGTGATGGCATGTGACTAGCTTTAACTTGAACCTCTTCAGTCGTGTTAGAAAATTGGTCTTAATTTTTCCCACGATCCAAAACAAAGCCATGTTTGTGTAAATTTTATTCGAGCTTTAAACTTTAATGATTAGGATATGCAGTTCATTGAATGGACTCTTTAATTAGCCGTTAGAATTGACGTTGTTGAACTGATAAAAGATGTCAAGAGTTGGGCAAAGATTTAAAGTATATTTTTGATTGAAATAACGAATGATGTATGATGGCAATAATAAAGTTTCAAACAACTAGGCAAACAGACAAAAAAAGATCCACTTGATTAAACACGGCAAAATGAAACTCTGAGGTCCACGTAATCAGACTGGCTTCTTGCCTCAATAGCATATATATTGGAGACTGTCGCAAACTGATGGATACGCACAATAACTTTCATGATATCATTTGTGGTTTATGTGACCAAAATGACCACTTTATTAGGCAGATTGCATAACGATCTTGATACGACTTCTAAATTATTATCAGTCTGGAATGTCAACAACGTTCTTAAGTATGTAAATAGTGACAACTGATGCGAAAACTGTTACTTAATTATCAACTTCACAGCAAACCGCAATCAGTCTGAAGCTGTCAAATCCTGCTTTTACGGTAAAATTTTTCGAGGCGATCCAACTGTTCCAATGGTGTATTCAAAATCGTTAATACTTACTTCTAACAGTATCTGCTATATATTTTTTCTGGTCTGAACTAGCATAGATTATTTAAGCTCCACCCACTCGTCAGTGTCTTCATTGCTTTGGATCCAATTTTAACTCTATGGCCACTTGTATTTAAAGCTTCTTTTAACACTGAGCGAATAGCTTATCTTTGAAAACGATAGTGAAAACCATTTAGGGTAGGAAAGGAAAATATTACAAG